CCCCAAAACCCCAAAACCCCAAAACCCCAAAACCCCTTCAATACGTTAAAAAGTTGAATTCCATAACCTTCTAAAATATTTCGAATATTATAGAAGAATCCAGGTCAAGATGTGAGACCTGTCTCTTCTGGATCCTCTCTAAAGCTTCTTGCAAGGTTTTAGGTGCCGAGTCTTTTGCTCCTTCATTATCCAGGTCAGCATTATTCTCTTTATCAGAGTCATGCTCTGGCTCTATCTTAGCTCCCTCTGGTTTTGGAGGGAACAAGAAGTTGCTCTTAAAGTGCTTCTTGAGGTTATGATCCTCTTCATTGAACTTTTTGATTCCTGAGAGATAATTTCCAGCATTTTTCCACTTAGTAACACTCTCTTTCTTTAGAGTGAAGTTGATGAACCCTACATTAAATTGCACTTTTGTATCATAGGGATCTATTTCTTTGGGAAATTCGATGTACGATTTAGTCATCTTCTCTTCAGTGTCATGTTCAACATAGAGATGGGATTCTGACACAAAATATTTGACATTCTCTTCCTTATACCCCTTTACTTGGAACATGTAGAACAAGAGCTCATTTCTTTGTTGAAACATAGCCTCGATTCATTCAAATTCCTTCTCTTTTTTCTTCTCAGGAATTCCGAGATCTTTCTTGGCCTTCTCAAGCTCTTCTTTAGAATGCTCTTCAGCTGGAATTTCTTTTACTAACTCAACTTTGCTGTTAATTGGATTGATTCCGATAAGGTTGTCAGATTCCTGTTCATCCTCCTTAAATTTGATATCATCCAGAACAGCTGGGCCTTCAGGTTTCTCCTTAGATTCATTCTTGGACTCATCATATATCTTAAGGAATTGTTGTGAGTCATCCTCCTTTTGCTCTTCATTTAATGCTTCATCCTTAAGCTTGTTCATATCAACCTGTTCTTCAAGTTCAAAATTTGCTTCAAAGCCTTTGCTGACATCTTGGGTGTAATTGTCCATATCCTGGATTAATTCTCCTGAAATTCTCTTCATGTTGTTCTCAAATTGTTCTTTGTCCTTCTTCATGATCTCATGAGTGACATCAGTGACTCCTACAACTGGGAGATCGATGACTAGTCTTTTCTTGTCTTTTTCAAATTTAGCGCCACCTTTCTCTGGATCAACTTTGTATTTAAATGTGAGCATCAGATCGTAGATGTCAGGAACCTTGAACATCAGAGTATCCTCGTTTATATCCAAGTCTGCATCTTTTGTTGACTCAATGAAGGGAGTCATGATAGTCACACGTAATGAAATAGGGAACCTACGATCTTGGAGTATGTCGGCAGGAGGTTCCCAACAATCTGCAACATTTACAGGATATGAGTAGACTATTTTATGCTTTGGTTCAGAGATGCCCTCAATTCTTTTAAGCTCTTCTTCATCGTCTTCTGCTTCATCATCGTCCTCTTGTGCTTTGTTTTGCTGTTCTTGTTTTCTCTTTTCAACTGCTTCTTTGGATTGATTCAGAACATTCTTCTGTAGAGTAGTCTCATGCTTAGAGGGATCCAATGAATTAATGATAGGATTCTCACTTTGAACTTTCACAGTAATTGAAGCTGGCGCCCCTCCTTTGCATCTCAATTTGTTCATCAATTTATAATCCTTAGAGAGCTTCTCATTGTCTTGGCTGAGAACTTTGTTGACACCCTCGATAGCTGTATCACACACAAATTTGATAAATTCCCCTTTGTAAAGCATAGACATGCTGATAACCTCTGGATGGAAAACAACATCGTAGGTTGTACAGAGCTCTCCCTTGTTATCTTGATCTGGCCTCCCTTTCGATACTCTATAAGGTAGCTCGAATGTATATCCTCTTGATCCATTTTTCACCCTATCAATCTTCTTTGGAGGATCCATAATGTCATGAGAGGCGATATTGATAAAGGTCTTCTGTTCGAAGTATTTCTTCTCCTTCCGATTTATCAACTTATTACTCGTTGTCTTCAGTCAGAATCCTGCTGTTGGTCTAATGAGTTTTGTATTTGGAGGAAGCTCTCCATTCTCTTCACATTGCTTCAAGTATTCCTCAAGTTCTGCTTTATTCTTTGGATTTGAAATATCATCGAGGTACTCTCCCATGATGGATTTAAACTCCTGAGACTCCATTGCTTTGACCAGTCCTTTCATTTCATTAGAGGTCATATTCAGGTCTTTATCTTTGATAAATTTGAAGTCAGGATCGTCTTCTTCCTTAGTTTGCTTCTTCTTCTCCGCGTAGGGATTAAAGGAACTCATAATTCAAATTTAGGTAAATTTAATAAAAATTATGCAATTTCAACCCCGTTCCAAAATTTGGGGTTTTGGGGTTTTGGGGTTTTGGGGTTTTGGGGTTTTGGGG